TTGGTGTGAATTAATAATTTGTACCCTGACTTAGACTACCGAAAACCTCAAAGTGCTTATTGATAAACAAGAGTATTTATGCAGTCATGTAGTCTACTATTTTTTTTAAAGCCAATGTTTAATCATTGGACAAACACAAATTTATTTTGTAAGACAGTGGGTTTGTTTTCTAAATCTAGATTTTTCACATGAGGACTTTTCTTTTTTTAAAAAAAAATATATATTTTTATTGATTTCAGAGAGGAAGGGAAAGGGAGAGAGAGATAGAAATATCAATGATGAGAGAGAATCATTGATCAGCTGCCTCCTACACGCCCACAGCTGGGGATCGAGCCCACAACCATGGGCCCTCCTGGTTCATAGGTCGGTTGATGCTCAACCACTGAGCTACGCCGGCCAGGCATGGGGAGTTTTCTTAAGGTGGTAGAACCACAGTAACTTCCACTACATATAGAAGAAGTTTCAGGGTCCTCCACCTTCTGTCTTCTTTCTTTCTCCTTTAATTCTGCCTGTGACTTGCCTGAGGTTCTACAGCTCTAAAAGGCAGCACCATGGTTCAGATTCACCCTTCTCACTCTGAGTTCAATGAACCCTCCACAACATTCCACTGTACCTGGCTACCTAATAAACTATATCATTCCACTTACCAGGTGGTTAGATTTCCAATAAGCTCCACCACTAGGAAAGTAGTTTGAATCCAGAAGCTCCGGAAGGTTGATTGGTTGGTTAAATATTTGGTTATCTAAAGATTAACCAGAAAACTGCTATTGTTTTAACCTTTATAGTTATGAATCATTCAGAACATATTAGTCACACTTTCTGCTTCTTTAGGAATTCTGGAAGAGTCATACCATCTTAGAATGGGAAGGAACCTTAGTTTTTCAGAGTCTTGCAGTGCCTCTGGGCCATAATTCTGAAAGAAAGTCTTATTTAATATTAGTATAAAACATGCAAGCTATTCAGCTGACCCTGGACATAGCTGAGGTTTAGTTTTTAAAGAAATTTCTGATTTAGTTGGCTTTCTTTTGATTATTTCTTGGACATTGACTGCAAGTTTTTTCCCCCCACTTAATTCAATTTTTTGATAATGTTTGTCTTTCTGGCTTTATTCTGTAACTTGAACCTACATTTTGTCTGCAGTGCCTAAGCTTGTAGATGGCTGTTATCCTGGGATACATGGAAACTGTGACATGGGAATTGGTCCAGAAATCACTTACACGAGCAAGCACTCAGGCTTCAGAGCTAAGCGAGAGAGTGATTTCAGCGAAACCATCTCTCCTCCATTTGCACATTTCTACATGTTTCAGTGACCAGGTCTGTGCCAGCAACGGGGGCAGGTTACACATTTCCACTGCAAACACTTGGTGCAGAGTAGAAGGCTGCACTATTTTTTTTTTCCTTTCAATAAGCCAGAATTGGCAGTGGAAGTGTGTCTGAGGAAGACATTGAAAGTATTGGCTCCTCAGGGACAGGGAGGAAATATGTATGCCTCATGCATTTCCCTCATTCCGTCTTCTAGTCCCACAGAAGAGTCATATTCAGCGAAAGGCACTGGTCCCAGTATAAAATGTCCAATTAAACATACTTAAGCAGCTCAGTCCTATTCACTAGTGACCTTGAGGTTATCTACTCTGTGAAGGCTTAATCTTTTTTTTCTTTTTCTTTTTCCCCAATATTTTTAAATTGATTTTTAGAGAGAGAGGAAGGGAGAGGGATAGAGAGATAGAAGCATTGATGAGAGAGGATCATCATTGATTGGCTGCCTCCTGCACACCCTCTATTGGAGATTGAGCCTGCAACCCGGGCATGTGTCCTGACTGGGAATCAAACCAGTGACCACTTGGTTCCTGGGCCGATGCTCAACCTTTGAGTGACACCGGCTGGGCTTTTTTTCTTTTTTAATGTAGAAAGTTTAACCTAAATTTGTTTCTGTGTGACGTGTCCCTTCAGGATTGAGCCCTTCATTTTCTCCACCAGAAAACTGGTTGTAATTTCAATTTTATAGTCTTCTTGCCTTCTCTTCTCTGCGTAGTTTCATTATAGTAACCACATTCCTAGAGAAAACCCCGAAAGTAGACATGTGGCATGAAATTTAGCATAGCTGTAAATTTCAAAAAAATTGGCTGCCATTGGTAGCTCCCTGAGGTATAATGACTAAAATGCGTATATATAAGAGAATCCTAGCTACACGTTAAGAACTATTAGTTTGTGACTTAGCATTACATCAGGGATTGGTATGGAGACTAGTGATTTTATCATTTAACTCTGATGATGTTTGTCCAGATTCTGAATGGTCCCTTGGAAGTAGAGCAGATAGCCACCATCAGGCTGAGTCCTGTTTCAGATGAACGGTTGTCCTTGTCTCTTAGTCTTGACCATTCAGTGTGGGGTTCTTATAGGCATGGATAGGGACAAGGGAGTATGGACCCAGGCAGCCTGGAGGGAGCCTTGGTGGAAGCTGTGCTACCAGGAAAGAAGGACTCTCTCCTCCAGCTGGAGTAGTGCTGCCCGCAGCAAGCCCTCAGCTCAGCTGTCAGTCCCATGAAGGGATCACCTCAGCTGAAGAGAGCCACTTTGCCTGAGGTTGCTGAGATGGCCATTTTCGGACATCTACAGCCATGCTAAATTTCATGCCACATGTCTACTTTCAGAGTTTTCTCTTGGAATGCGGTTACTATAATGAGACCGCCCAGAGAAGAGAAGGCAAGAAGACTATGATAAAACAGACATTACAGCCAGCTTTCTGGTGGAGAAATTAGATGGCGAGTAACTGCTGATCCATGTGGGGTTAATAAAGGCCCCTCCTCCTGGCTCCACCTCAGGACAATGCTGAAGCACCCTCCCAGCTTCAGAATCTTCCCTGTAGACAAGCCTGAGGCTCTCATTGAGATTGTGCTATCCCAGCTCAATTTCTCCCTCTGCTCAATCTTTCCTCCCTCTTGCCCCCCTCATCCCCTCTCTACTTCCCTCCTCCTTCCTTTCTTTCCAGATGTTGATTCCAAGATGGAAAGTCAAAATATTAAACTGAGAAGAGAAACAAAGAAGAATTAGATTCGAATTCTAATATCTAATTTGGGATTTGGAGTGACGCCTTGATTCTCTATGAAGGTTGAAACTGTCATTTGAAGCCTTCATCCAATCACTTCAAAGGTCGGCGTTAGGGGTAGAGAAAGAAAAGGAAGAATCAAGTAAATGATTTCAATTGGAGACTTTGTGCTTTGCATTGTAACTCTGTTCTTGCCCTTGCTCTTATAAGCAACTCTGCCTTGAGTCCTTTCTTAGATCATCTCATGTCTTCCCGTGCAGCAGGCAGGAATCACTGAAAGATCCAGTGAATAAATGGGCAGTGGTGCCTCCCAGTCCTACCTCAAAGTTCACATCAGGGGAGAATGAAAAGCAGCCTTGCTTCTAAAGGTGCTCTCACTCTCCTTGAGTGAAGCTTAGCCGTGTATCCTCCCTCAGGGGAGTGATGGAAGGCGCATTTGACTGCCCTGTCCAGAGTGTGAGCAAGAGCCGTTGACAACTGGAGACTGGATGGGGTAGAAGCCAGGGTGAAAATTTAGCGACACCCAGGAAAGAGTTGAAAACTCTGGAGGACAAAACCAAGAACCACACGGAGAGTTTCTTTGTGTTTATTTCCTTGGATCTTAGGAGAATGTGTGTGTTTAAGTGTTCCTTCCTCTGTAGGCCCCCACCCCTGGGCATGAACATCCAGGTCATGAGTAGATGTGGAATGGACTTAAGAGGTCTGAGTCGCCATCCAACTTAGCCTTCAGAGTGGAAGGGTTGGGGGACTGTGGAAGCGAGGTCTCTCCTTAGCGTTCTGGGAGGTGACCAAATCAAATGAGTGGGCTTGGGCTATGGGGTCCCTACTATTTCTGGATGGCGTCCTGATGTTTTGCTCAGGGATGTGTTAAATGTCTTCGTGAAAGGCTTATTGCGGTGCCCCCGCCCTTCAGGCCCGGCCCCGTGTGTGTTGCAGGGGGAAGAGAGGCTGGGGCACTGGAGGGCGGCACCAGGATGGTGCCTTTGGACAGTTG